GATCAAGTCTTAGTGCTTGCCCCTGGATAAAAGAATATGTGGCCYCTCTGATAAGTAAAATCGTGTATTTGAGAAGTAACCTCAGAACACTACCCCTTTACAAGGAAAACAGCAAGCAATAAAAAATATGGGTGAACATGCCCTTTCACTTCGATTTTTGAYTCATAAAATCCTGCCTCTTCACAAGCATGCTGTAAAAATAAACTAACTATTTCTGCAGGGTTTACCAACTATAGGGATCAATGCTGAGAAAATCCTGTAGGAAACTAACKTTTTTGGACAGCAGGAAGCAGGAAGTGTATTCCAAGTAAACCACAAGTGGTCACAGCTGAATGGTGAGAATAAAATGCTGGTCAGCTGTTTCCCTGCTTCTAGATACCCCTCTTGCTCAGCTAAAAAGTTGATACTGCCTCAGAAAACCTCAATGAACTTGTAGCATCCATACAGAGGACTCAGTGACCTTGGCAAGCTCCACCTCCTGTCCCCCAGTGACATCCATAAACCCAGAAGTAGCCAAGACCAAAATGGCACAAAAATGCAGTGCTTCCTGTGCCAACATCCAAGCAATGACACATTAAGAGACCTGGCTTGTTTGGCAGCTGGGCTCTGCCTTGGGATCCAGCAGGCACAGGCGATGGGTTTCTAATGGAGTATTTGAAGCTACTCCTCCTGCCCTCTCCTTCCAAGTGCGATGTGGATTTAGGGGTAGATTTAACTAGAAATACAACAAATACAATCATCATGCATACATATATAAAGACTTTGGGGAAATCTGTAACAAAGGGGTACACAGAATATCTGTCGGTAAAACACTGGTAAGGTGTTCTCCAAACAGAATATAGCCACAGTGAAATGGTTTACCTAATGCTAGAAACAGCAACCCAGAAACAATCCTCATGAAAACAAAGCAGGAATCCAAAACATTTTTGAAACTTGTCTAAATATTTATTCTTTTTTTCAGGTTATGAAATTATTTTAGTTGCCTGGCTCTCAAGCCATTATCTGTACCAAGCCCATTTGCACAGGTTTATCCATTTTCCAGCCATTATCTCATAAACCCTTTATCTTTGCATTTTGTAATTACGGTGTGTTCCAAAAACTATGGACAGTCTGCATGAAATTAAACTGAGACTCTTTTCTCATATCATATCCTAACCAGCCTACAGTATCCTAGAAACTGAAATAAAACATCCTTAGCACAAGGGCTAATTTGTCCACTAGTCATTTTTGGAGGGTACTGGTAAAAGCCATCCCTGAATGCTAGAATATTTTCATTAATGCAATATTTCTGTAAAACCTAATACTGCCTCTCTATGTGTGAATTTCTGAGGTAAATTACTGTTTTRTTATATCTACTTGCAAAAGAAGAAAAATATTTTAAAATTATTCAGGCACTATAATGCCACTAATAGTGCCACTCTTAATTTTAAAAAACAGCTTTTAAAAATTCTGATACAACCACAAGGCAAACTCACATTCAAGACAAGCAGTTGGATCCCTACCAAAAAACGCAATGTTTAGAAAAATCGGTGTTTTAAATGCTAGGATGTTACTAGTAGCAGGAACACCATCAAGAGTACAAAACAAGAGTCATGAAGTCTAATTCAACTTCAAATTGAATTGCAATTAATTTAATTGGATAAATACTTACAAGAAGAACCTGCACACATCAGGCAGCTGACAACAGACATGCCATGTGTACAGCTGAGCACAGAAGGGAAGAGACTTTGGAGAAGACAAAGACCACTTAATGACTGCCCAGTTTTTACATGTGTGTAACTTCCCTTTTGGATTATCTGTGATTAAGGGAACCGGTTCTTATATTTCCTAGGCACCTGTTACAATCACAACTTGTTTCCAWGCCTGATGTCACACATTTCTCAAAGTTAGCATCGGGGCATCAAAGTATTGCCAAGTTTAAGGGGCAGGAGGACATGGAAGYGGCACTGCCTTCACAAGGAAGAAACATCCCACAGAAGAGCTCACACATTGCTATGCAGGCAACCCAAATACACATCCCTGCTTGGCACCTTTGTCCTACTAAAAGCRACACAGCACCTTGTAAACTGGCATYGTGCCATTCTGACAGATGGACTTAAGTGTAGGCAGCCAAGAGACTATGTATAAGCATCAAATATGTTTTTGAGAGGAGGACTTCCAGCCAGGAATGTTAAAACAGCTGTCCACATTGAGCTTGCATGCCTACATTTAAGAGGATATGCTATTGCCACTCGAGCCCTGAGCTGGATTAACTTGGAAAATAAATAAGATAGCTTCCACAGCCACATAAGGTGAGTTTTTGCAGAATCAGGATTAGTGATACTCAGGGGGGCTTTACTGACCTACTATTAGTGGGCACACTCACAGGGTCAAAAAGCTCATCAGTTCTGTAGCTCAATTAACCTTTTATCAGGTACACGCTCATATACATTTATTTTCCCTCGGAAGAAAAACACAGAATGCAATACCAGCATGATTACAAACAAACATATTAGTGACCTTTCATTTTGTGTTAGAGGATACTTTATGAATTAGCTCACTCAAACACATGTATCTGTGTGACTAGGATCTGTTTCACTGGGCTTTCTTCTCTTTTTTGTAACTTCAACTCCCATGAYCCAATTCAAGACTTTTTGTTAGCTCATGCTGGCACACAGACACACATTTTACATTTTGACATCATTTGCATAGCTTTCCCCATTAACAGAATCACACCACTTGGAGAAGCAGGCATTGCGTAACACAGGATGTGAGGTGGCAGGCCTGCAGAGCCATGCCCAGGCCACTTCCATCCCATCCCTGCACCTGGCTGGGCTTCTGTGGCCCACAAATCCCTCTCCTCAAGGACATGCACATTCCAAACCGCTGAGAAGATCCAACAAAAACATGTTTGCTCACATCAACATGCCAAACAGTGTTCTTTTTTTTTTCCCCCATAAACTTAGATTTTACTCCTGCCCCTCAAAAYGTCGTTAGCCTAAACTAAAGTGAGGCAAACATTCAAATGTTAATGAATTAAAAATTTCCTCAGACTTCCACACTATTTAAAAAAGAAAACACCAAGATTTCAGACAGGCAACATTGCTTCTAGCCCTGAGTAGCTTCAAGACTGAATGGAGGTGATGGTACATTTCATTCAATGTTTAAACACACTTTGTGTGCATTTTAATTCTCCCTGTGGTCACAACCAAATCACAGGCATCAATTTTTCATGTACACTGTAGCTGGGTGTACTTGTCTTTGTTCTTCTGAATCACTAAAAATGAACTTCAACTCTGCAAGGGATCCTCCCTGTATAGATCAAAGCTGCCTTCAGTGTCCGGCAGGCACAGGGTCACAGAGAGTCTACCCAGCTGCTGGTGTCTTTTACCTTYGTAAACTATGCTGCAATTAAAGTTACCTGAGTCACTTCATTACAATTTCCTGTGCTAGAAGCACGCCAGTGGTAGGCATCTTTTCTCTGCACAGTGAGGATTTCCCCCAATTGACCTTGCCTTCCCCTTTGTTGAAGAAAGATTTCCTCCTCTTRAACCGTTCACCTCTTTTACCCTTCATTCCTCACCTACAGCATTTCCTTTTTCTTTTTTGCGTGTTTTTGAGGACAGTGTGAAATCACCTACTTGCAAGACTTCCTAACTACAATTTAGTGACCTCAGTAACAAGATGTTTTGTTTTTTCATACTACCAGTAAAGTTGATGCCAGGTTAATCGTAATTTCCGTACCACTTAGCCTTTCTCAGAAGGGAGAAGAGAGGGAAAAAAACATTTTGTCATATACTTCATCAAGCAGATTAACAATGCAGTGAATACCTCTCCCTCCTTCCAAAAACCAGCAGTGCCCCAGGCTTTTTCAAGACACTGCACACAGACTGTGCATGGCTTTAGAACGGTTCAGGGAACAGTCAAATTGCCGAAGAACAGGTCAAAAGCAACAAAAACACTGATCCGGATCACTAATTTTGCTTAGTGAAGTAGTTACACACATACCCCACAAGTGTATTACTTTCATAAATATGTATTTTATATGCAATTATTATTTCCACAGCTATCGTAAAGCCAAAGTAAATTGAACTGCAAATGGTAATGCTCAGTATCCAAAACCCCTCTGCAGCTCTCTCAGCCTCCGAAGTGCCTCTCCTTATTTGAGAAGAATTGGAAGCGGTACACGAGGTTAATTTCTTACTGAAGCATATAAGATACTAATGCAGAGTCGGARAGCAGGCAACCTTCTCACACATTACACAAATCATTACGATCAAACTCCAATAAAGTTTAGTATCCAGTCATCTGAGACATCCGTTCCTCCTGCTATCACACAACTATCAGGAAGACTTGTCTGTACCTGCTGAAAAACGTGTGCCAGATTGGACTCCCATTTAGCTGTGCTCCTCGAGCTACCCTAACCAAACTCTTAACCCTCAAGGTTTTACATGCTGGTTTATCGATGCTTTTGTAATTCTTGAGATGCCAGATACCGATGTATCAATGCCARTTAAAATTCATTGCTAGTAAAAGGCAAATGAATGCTAGAAAATTAAAATGAAGCATGTCAAAAATCTCTCACAGTACTTACTGAACACATTACAGACTTTAGGTTAAAGGCACACTAACCTATTTAGAAATATAAAGCTTCTGTGTTAGGAAACAGAAACTTGAAGGGGCACGGTAGATTGTAACACTGCTTTCTGAAAAAGTCATCGGCTACTGCCAAGTGTTGAAAAGCATTAGAGAAGACAACTTTCTYTGCTGCTCTATTCCCTGTGCACAAGGAGGGGAGTACAACTGCTTCTAGGCACACTGCATTAGCTCCACCTGTTACTACTGTTCACCATGCCACAGAACATTTTATAATAGCAAAGCATGGCAATTTTACTTCAAAAGGTCATTTCAAAAGGCAAGTATGTTGGTCAGCAGAACCAAGGCAGAAGTACCTGTAACTGGCCCCTCAGAGAGATCTGGGGTTCAGCATTCAAAGTACCCAGGTACTTAAGTTGCCTTACCTAGGTAAAGCGAGGCGTTTTCTTTCTTGACATTGTCATCTAAGTAGGTTGGTCCCAAGGTATAGATGGGTGTCGAGCCCATGCCAATGAGGATTTGGGCACAGATGAATAAAGCTACATAGAGAGAGTGGTCATTTCCACCGGAGTCCTTGATGCAGGCCGACGAGTCCCACTGCTCTTTGGCAGTGCCATTGCCAGCCACGCACAAGCCCTCGTTACTGACGGAGGAGTTCAGTTCCTGGATCTGGTACGGCGGAGAGATGAAGTGAGGTAAGGAGAAGAGCGCAGCGCCCAGGGCGATGAAAAGCCCCCCGACGGCCAGCCAGAGCGGCCTTCGCCCGCGTCCCCCGAAGTAGCTGATGAAGACCACCACCACCAGGCTCCCGATGTCGAAGCAGCTGACCAGCAGCCCCGACTCCGARCTCTTGAGGCTGTATCTTCGCTCGATGGTGGTGATAACGCTGCTCAGGTAGCCGGAGACCATGAGGGACTGGATGAAGGTCAGGAAGCACATGCACACCAGGAAGAAGCGCGAGTCCGCCAGCACTGCCCGCAGGCACGCTCGGCCCGGGGGGCCCGCCAGCAGCAGCGCCGGCGGCGGCGGCGGCAGCAGCAGCGGGGGGCCCAGGGATACCCCTCGGCCGGGCGCCGCCGGCTGACCGCCCGCCGTCTTCCAGGGGAAGCTCCCGCTGCCGCCGGCGGCGGAGGGGGGCCGGGGAGCCTCGGTGGCGGCGGCAGCGCCCTCGCCCCGCTCGGCCTCGGGAGCCGGTCCCGCGGCGGGGCTCGCCGGGCCGCCGCCGCCGCCCCCCCCGGCCGCCAGGGGGGAGCCGAGCGCGGGCAGACTGCGGCACCGCGGCGCCTCCGCCCGGCCCCCCGCCGCCGCCGCCGGCCGCTCCGCCCCGGGGAGCCGCTGCTCCGGGGTCCCCGCCGAGGCCATGCTGGGTCCGGCGGCGGCCTCAGAGGAACCCGGCCGGCTCCATCGCCGCCGTGCGTCGAGCGCGCTGAGGGGCCCGGCGAGAGCGCAGCATAGCGAGGAGGGGAGGAGGGAGGGGAGAGGGGTGGCCCTAGCTGCGGCCGCCGGCCGCCCCGCCGCACGTGTCAGCCAAACTCCTTTGTGACTCCATCCACCCTCAGTCTCGCTCGAGGGGCCGCCCGCCCGCCGGGGCGCCCGCGCTGCCGGCGGCTCCCGCTCCCCGTCGCCGCATGCCCGCGGCGCCGCGCTCAGCAGCCGCCCGCCGGGGCCCCGCGGACTGCCCGCCCGCCGCGGGGCAGCGCCGCCCGCTCCGCTGCCCGCATCCTCCTCTCTCCTCGCCGCCGACGCCGGTGACAGAGCTCCGGGGGGTTGCTGCCGATCTGCGGGGCGAAGAGCAAGCACTGGAGGTCAGCGGCGCTGGCCAGAGCGGCCCCGTCCCTCCCCGCCGCCCCGGCCTCTGCCCGCCCGACCCCGCGGTCTGCGCTGAGCTCCGGGGAGCGCCTCCGTCCCCGCGGGGGCTGGATCACAGCAGCGCCCCGGGAACCGCGCGTCCTTGGGGACGGCACATGGATTTACATAAGAGCTGGGGCGGCCTCGGCCAGAGCGCGACCCTTTTATTTAGTGCCGGATGCGACAGCCAAAGGTCGCCGTGCCAAGCCTTTTATTTTCCAGCCTAAAAATAAATGCGCTGAAATAAATACTCTGCTACAACTCAGCGGCCCGGGGAGCGGCGGCAGGCGGAGGGAAGGGGAACAAAGCCGGAGCCGGGCAGCGGCGGCGGCGGTCACCCCGGGACCCGGCACCCCGGGCCCGACCTCGCCGCCTCAGCTCGCCCGGGTGCCCCCCGGGACCGCCGGGCGCAGAGCGGTGCCCAGACATCCCTACCCCGGCAGCGGAACACGCCTTTTGCCTCCTTTGTCCGCTTTTGTCTCCCCGCCGCCTCCTGCTCGCTGCGGCCCCGCGGAGGGGTGGGAGGGGGAGGCAACGGCACCCGGGCAACCGCGCCCCGGCGGCGGATCGCCCCCACCCCCAGAGGGTGGGCAGCGGGCAGGGCGGCGGAGCCGGCCGGGCGCACCGGGCTCTCCTCCCGGCCGCCGCCAAGAAAAACCACGGGGCTACTCACCGAGCGTGCGGCGCGGGGGGCGGCCGGCCCGGGCCCTGCGCCCCCGCCCCGCCTGTCACCCAACGCCGGGTCCCCCTCGGCCGCCTCCGCCTCCCCGGGCGCCGGAGCGCAGGCGCGCCCGCCGCAGCCGCCGGGCTGGGTGATGCCGCCGGGTGCCCTCCGACCTGCCCTGGCCGCCGCGCCAGCCCGCGGGCACCCGGCTACACCCCCGCCAGAGAGGCCGGAGCTCCCGCGGGACGGTGCGCCCGGCGGCGGGGCACGCTGTGGGTTTGCCCGGTCGGTGCCCTTGCTCACCCGTGGAGATGCTGCGGGCTGCAGCTCGGCGCCCGTGGCTGAGAAAGTCCGCGGAGCGCCGCGGTTTGCAGCCCCGGGCGGCGTTTAGGATGCTTAGGATGGTGGTACATGGCCTTGTGTAAAAGGCGGGAATATTTGGAAGACCTCAATTACATCGTCTGCTGAAAAGTGAGAACCAGGGGATAAGTTTAAAAAAAAAAAATTATTTAAAGGAAAATAATCAGACCACCTGATGATCCTTTTTGTCCGGATCTTGTCTCCCATGCACACAGTCTCCAAAACTGAGAGGCACATGCAAAATGTGGGAAAAGTAGTTTAGAGTTTACTCCTTGTAGGGTTTTGTTCTAATGCCCTTTTTTTCGGTTTGTGCAGTGTATTGAATTGCACTGGTTTGTTTTGCTCCCAAGACCCTGTATTTACAGCCTGAGTACCAAGATAAGGCTAAACGGTCTTACAAATTATTATATTTGTTGTGGCTTGATAGAATGTGATCTRTTGAGGTATTTGTCTTTTTGCCCAAAATTTTCTCAGATAATAATGCCAAGGAATACACTAAAGAAGTATAATATCTTACACATTTAGTTAGTAGTTAGTGCTTTTCTGGCAGGATGGAAGATTTACTGATTTGTTTCCCCTCCTTTAAAAAATGTTTAAGACTCACTCACCACACTTGTTTACTTATTTATAGTCTGGATCAATAAGAGAGTTTCATATCATATTCACAAAAGATACCATTTTCAAGTTTTATAAAGCTATTATCAAAAGGTATTTTGATACCTCTGTGTACTCACTAAACACTCCAGCTGCTCAAACTCAACACAGCTAATGTTGCTTTTAACCACATTTTTCCTGTTAATAAGCTATCCCAAGTTTACTGCTTGTCTAGGCCTGCTGTTTTAGTTTTCCCTTTGATTCAGTTAGGTTTTCAAGGATTCTTGAAAAACTCATTGTAATGATTCTCTCATCTCTAAATAAGGCCCTTAAGACAGTTTCTTCTATTTCATTATCCCACAGCTACTTTTTAGTTGTTACTGGAGCCCCTCTCTTCTGCCTCTTCCACTGTCAGCTTCCTCTGGCCGCAGCTTCTGTCACTGCAGCTCTGGCACTCACCTCAGTGCACAGTAAGCTGAATAAACTCACTGAGGCAGCAGAAAACCAATCCAAAGGAAAAAAAAAGTGTTTTGCTGGTTTTATGAGCTGAATCACTTCACCAAGAATGAGAGCACAAGAACCTGAAAAAAAATAAAGGGGAAAAAAGGTCCATGGGGAAARAGGAAGAGAGGATAACCCATTTCAACAAGAACAAGGTTGAAATTCAACTCCATCGTCTCACTCAGCCATCGCCAAGAGCATACGTGTAATTCACCTGGTAGGCAGTATCCCTTCAGTGACTCCTTTGCACTTGAACCAGTGCACGAGCCAGTAACTTCACTTTTTAAGTGTAATGGGTCATATGTATGACACCTCAGTATTGGAGTCTGTCCTTGGTTCGCAACGACCCCATGCAGCAATACAGGCTGGGGAAGAGTGGCTGGGAAGCTCCCTGGCGGAAAAGGATCTGGAGTTGCTGGTCAGTAGCTGGTTGAACATGARCCAGTGTGTGCCCAGGTGGCCAAGAAGGCCAGTGGCATCCTGGCTTGTATCAGCAATAGTGTGGCCAGCAGGACCAGGGCAGTGATTGTCCTCTTGTACTCAGCACTGTTGAGGCTGCACCCCGAAGCCTRTGTCCAGTTTTGGCCCTCATTGCAAGAAAGACATTGAAGTGCTGGAGTGTGTCCAGAGAAGGGGAATAGAACTGGTGAAGGGTCTGGAGCACAAATCCCATGAGGAATGGCTGAGGGAGCTCGGAYTGTTTRGCCTGGAGAAAAGGAGGCTAAGGGAAGACCTTATCACTCTCTCAGACCTTATCAGACTTCTCTGTCTGAAATGAGGTTGCAGCCAGGTGATGGTCAGTCTCTTCTCCTSAGTAAAAAGTGATAGGATGAGAGAAAATGGCCTCAARTTGCACCAGTGGAGGGCCTAGATTGGGTATTATGAAAAATTGCTTCACCAAAAGGGCTGTATTGAAAAAGACTGCTCAGGGAAGTGGTGTAGTCACCTTACTTGGTGGTATTAAAAGACAAGTAGATGTGGCTCTTTGGGACATGGTTTCATGGTGGACTTGGCAGTGCTGGACTCAAATGATCTTCAAGTTCTTTTCCAGCCTAAACAATTCTATGATTTTTACATCAGCTTTGAGATCTTTTTCTATGACTAGGATTCCTGGCCATTATAGTATAAAACCAACCAAAGCAAAAATTTTTGTGACATTGTAGAATAAAATAAATACTCAAAAGTGTCCTCCCATCYCATGGGAAATAATAAGGGCACAGCATTCCCAGCTTCACAGTATTTGTAAATAGTACAGCCTACAAACAGGTACAATTTCAATTCTTTCTTCAGTGTCAAACCTGTAAAGAGATAAACTTGTTCTTAGGACTATGTGAGCTTGTTTGTTTGGGAAGTTACTCCACCTGACTGTAGGTTCTTCCCTGCTTACKTTTGGGTCTGAATGAAATAACAAGTTGGCTGCAGTGGGTATGAGCATCCAGCACCAAGTGATGAGTGGGAAATCAGTATTATTCTTTTTACTTGACAGGTTGATTACAGAAGGTGCAACAATGGTACCCAAATTTACAATAAAATATAAATGTATAAAACTTACTATGCAAAATTTCTCCTTTTAAAGATAGTGGATTTAAAATACACAATATCTCTCAATCACAAAGCCATCAAGTGGTGTTGCAGACCAGCCTATTTATGGCTACAACTGCAAAAGAGCACAGTTCCCATTTTGATAGATTAAGGACATGGGCTGACACTCTGTTTTGATTTATCTGTTTTAATGAAAGACATGAAGTCAGGACTGGTGAAAGGCAGGCCGTTTGTCTTGAAAGTTTCTAAGTTCCCAGCTGACAGCCTGCTTCCCTCGTGGGCTGCCCTGCTGCAGTGGTGAGTGCTCACACAGCACTTTCAGCTGCTATTCTGTGAGGGACAAGACTTGACTCACAGCTTGGTCTCATGAGCTGATCAGTTCCAAAAGAGAAGGTGCCAGAGCTACCAAGACACMATCTTTTTAAGGTCACTTTAGCTGGTGACAGTTTTGAGGCTTTACATGTCCCTGATAGTTCAGAAAGCTGGTAATGCCCAAGAGGTATTTCAGCCTAGTCTATTTCAGGCCACAAAGAGASGGAAAACTCAGCTGAAGGGTGGCACGAGTTGATGGCTCTGCTTCTCCTTCAGTATTTCACATTTCCAGCCAGGTTTTCCATTCGATGAAATATCACAAATGCAATAAATCAACACACTTGTCTTCCTTCCCTTTCTCCCTCCTACTGCTGCCATTTTTGGGCAACGTCTGCTCTTCAYTCCCAGCCCAATATTAGTAAAGGAATAAGCAAAACAGGATGTGCACTAGGAGGCTAGTGGACTTTAGATTCTCCTGGAGTGTGGGCATTGGGAAGCATAAACCAAAAAATAAAGAATGTCACTTCTCAGGGACCTTCACCAAGCTAGTGTCCTAATGAACTCCCGAGGGCAGGTTGCTGCTGGGAGAGAACAGCTCATTATTTTTGTTTGAGATGTCAGAGAGAGCACTTGTAACAGCAGATCCTATACTAAAGAGCTGATTTAGTACAAGAAATGAACTTAATCGCAGTTAGATGCTGCTGGGAGACATTCAYGTTAAGGTTTGTCAGTCTCCACAGAAGAACTAGCTACAGTTTCATGAATGAAATAAAGAAACCTTGAAT